AGAAAGAAAGAAAGAAAGAAAGAAAGAAAGAAAGAAAGAAAGAAAGATAAAGAAAAGAACCTAAATAGCCTGATATCTTTTAAAGAAATTGAAATTATTATTTTTTAAAGATTTCATTCTTAAGTATTCCCTACACCCAACGTGGGGCTCAAGCTTACAACCCCGAGATGAAGAGTTGCATGCTCCACAGACTAAGCCAGCCAAGCACCCCAAGAAATTGGAATTATTGTGTAAAATCTTCCTACAAAGAAAGCTCTAAGTCCAAGTAGCTTCACTGGTGAATCCTATCAAACTTTTAAGGAAGAAATAACACCAACTCCACACAAACTGTCCCAGAAAATTGAAAAGGAAAGAATACTTCTTGACAAATTCTTTGAAACCAGCATTCCTTTGATACCAAAACCAGACAAAGACATTACAAGAAAATTACAGCCCAACATCCCTCCTGAACATTGGTGCAAAAATCCTAAACAAAATGTTAGCAAATCAAACCCAACAATTAAAAAGTGAGTGGAGCTGATTTGAGGAATGCAAGGTTGATTTAACATTTGAAAATCAACTGATGTAATTCACCATGTTAAGAAATTTTAAAAGAGCAGAAAAAGCATTTAACAAACTCCAACATTCATTCTTGGTAAAAAAAAAAAAAAAAAATTCTCAGTAAGCTAGAAATACAACAGAGCTTCCTCAACCTGATAAAGGACATCCATGAAAAACTCACATCTAACATTATATTTAATGATGAAAGACTGAACGTTTTCTCCATAAGATGGAGACAAGGACATCTATTCTCACACTTTCTATTCAGCAATGAATGAAACAGAATAGAGTCCAGAACAACCTCACACATATGTGGACAACTGACTTTCAGCAAAGGTGCAAAGGCAAGTTGGGGGAGAAAGGACCGTCTCTCAACACATGGTGCTGGAGCAACTGGATATTCTTCTACCATATAAGTGAATTTTGATCCATACCTCACACCATATAAAAAAATTAACTCAAAATGGGCCATTGACCTAAATGGCCCTAAATGGGCCATTATAAAACCTCTAAAAGAAAATATAAGAGAAACCTTTGTGACCCTGAGTTTGGCAAAGATTTCTTAGATGTGACACCAAAAACACAATGCACAAAAGAAAACAAAATTGATAAATTGGATTTCATCAAGTTGAAAACTTCTGCTTTTTGAAAAACACTGTTCAGAGAATGCAAAGATAAGCCATAGATGGGGAGAAAATACTTGCAAATCATCTATCTGCTAAAGAACTTGTATCTAGAATATAGAAAGAATTCTCAGACCTCAATAAGAAAACAAACAATACAATTTTTAAAGAAAGATTTGAACAGATACTTCAAAGAAGTTAGTGGATGGTGAATATGCCCATGAAAAGATATTCAACATGATTAATTATTGAGGAAATGCAAACTAAAACTACCATGAGGTATCACCACACACCCACAACAAATATTGGCCAGGACATGGAGGAACTGGGACTCCACACAGCTGGTGGAGGTATAAAATCATGCAACCACTTGGGAAAATACTTCGGCAGTTTCTTTTGAAGCTAAACAATACACTTACCATATGATCCGGCTATTCCACTCCCAGATGTTTACCCAGGAGAAATGAAAGTGTATGTCTAGGGCGCCTGGGTGGCTCAGTTGGTTAAGCGACTGCCTTCGGCTCAGGTCATGATCCCGGAGTCCTGGGATCGAGTCCCACATCAGGCTCCCTGCTCAGCAAAGGAGCCTGCTTCTCCCTCTGACCCTATTCTCTCTCTCTCTCATTCTCTCTCTCTCAAATAAATAAATAAATAAATCTTTAAAAAAAAAGAAAGTGTATGTCTATATGAAGACATGTACCCAAATGTTCATAGCAGCTTTATTTGTAATAACAACAACAAAAACCTGAAAGCAGCACAAATGCCCATCAATAGGTAGATGGATAAACAATGGCACGTCCATTCAATGGAATATTGCTGAGTGATAAAAAGGAATGTACCACTGATATATGCGACAAAATGAGCAAACCTCAGAATAATCATGTTGAGTGAAAGAAGGCCAACACAAAGAAGAGTACACATTGTATAAATCCACTGATATATAAAATGTTAGCATGTACAAAATAATGTATAGAAACGGAAAGCAGACCCATGATTGCCTCGGGGGTGTGGTGGGGAGGGCTGCAAAGAGGAATTCCCAAGGGGCAAAAGGAAATTTTTTTTACTGTGAAGGAAATGTTCATTATCTTGATTGTGATGATGGTTTCTTTAATGATATGTTTGTCACTTTAAACATGTGCGGTTTATTTTATGTTGAGTACACCTCAATAAACTTAAAAAAATGAGTTTGGGGGAGATCGTATTTGGAATTTTTATTCAAAGCCAGCCTTCCCGAATACATTTGATTGTTTTGTTTTTCTTATAATTATATAACAACAAAAAAGTCCAAAATTAAAGCTACACATCTCCTTCAGTTCCACGACTACTGTGGGCCATTTTCTGTATGCGCTGTGGTGAGGGGAAGGGATTCGTCTCGAAGGTCAGTCTTCCATTCTTGTGAGATGAGCGGTCAGGAGGATGATGTTGGCTCTGAGCACCAAGAGAGTGCAATAGGAGAAGCATCCGAACCGTGGGACTGAAAGAGTCCTCCCCATGTGTCCCGTTTTGCTTTCTAGAGAGGTGAGTGGCTGAGGTTTGGAAGAAAAGGAGCAAAGTGTCGGCTGGAGCTCAGCCGTCTGTGACCACCCACCCACGACCCCTGCCCCACGTCAGCAGCAGTGTCGGGTAGAGGGGTGTCTGCACAAGGTGGAGGAAAGAGGGAAGACTAGGTGACCAGAGGCGTTCAGGTTACAGGGTCATATGACTTCGGATAGACACACTCAGTGCTGTCCCAAAGCTGTTCCGTGCTTCTGCCATCTTGCTGCCCCAAAAGCAGCTGCCCCCCACTCTGCGCCCAGAGAGAATCCCCAGAGAATTAGCCAGAGCCAGCCAGCCAGGAGGCCACCAGCCAGACGCAGAGTGCAACCTGGCCTTGCGTGCATAGGTCAAAACGGGGACCAGGTGGAGTTCCCAGCAGCAGCTGCAGTGACCACCCCATGCACGGGGACATCAGCAGTAGCAGCCATCGGGGCTTTGCACGCCCAGTAGCATGCCTGTGTCCACACCAGGCGACAGAGGGACCGAACACTGGGGAGATTCCACCTGGGTACCCCTCATGGCTTTGTCACCTGCCAGCCAGGTGCTTTGGGCAAGTCACTTAACATGCCTCAGTCTCCCCATCAATAAAATGGACATAACAAGAGTGATACCCCACACGGTTGTGAGACTTAAAGGAGCTGGTAGCTGTGAGATGTTTACATGAGCTCCCGACACAGAGTTCGCTCTCAGATGTGTTTGCTGTTGTTACATTAGTCTGTGCTTTGACAAACCCCTCTCCTCCCCCTTCCCACACCCATCAGACAACTCAGGCCCCTACACATGGCCGACCAAGCATCCGACCAACTTAGCTTCTAGATGTGATGGGCAGCTCCCTAACACCCTCAGACTAAGTTCTTCAGATCTGGGGGCTGGTGCTGTTTATTTCTATTGCTCTGACTACTCAGAACCTCGCCAGAAATCTGGAACCCAAGTCTTGGGAAGGCTTGGGTGGGCTGACCCATGCAGGTCCTGCCATCTCCAGCAGGGGGCGATGGGTACCAACCTTTGCTGGGCGTTGAGCATTCTTCCTCCTCCTCCCCAGAACCAGGAACACCCGCTGTCGGTGTTGGAGGATCGAACCTCCCAGGTTCCAAAGCTGCGGGTGAGTTTGTGGGCACAGCTCCTTCCCAGACCCCTGACTTTCCTAGTTCCCATCTGCCCCACTTCCCGGAGGAGGAGCCTCTTGCCATTGGTGGCTTTGCCTCAGTTTCCCAGTGTGTAAAATAGGTGTGGCCATCTCTGCCTCTTCCAGAGATTTCCCACAGGTGAATCCCTAGCAGCAAGGACAGGCAGGGGAGGCTCCAGGCCCAGCCCACAAGCACAATTGGGAAAAGCCATTTCTGTCAAAAGCAACACCAAAGAATGGGAGCGGCCATTCCAAATCCGGAGCAGGCAGCCTCCAGCCAGCTGCCCATCCTCCTGGGCTGCCGGGTCCCAAACCATCCCAGATCTTGGCCCCAGGGTGCCTCCTTCAATCCTTGCACCAATCAGGGGCTTCCCGGCCCAAGCAGCGGACTTCTCCAACCCCTCCTGACCCAAACAGCACAAATGAAATACACAAAAAAAATTTTTTAAAAAAATCACATCTTTATTGTTTGATTAATAAACTGGCTTGGAAGGGCAAGAATGGGGTGTGTGGGTAAACACCCAGCTTTGATTAGTCAGAAACTCCTGTTAACCGTGTACAAAATGAATGTTACAAAATCACGTAGAAAACGGGGTCAGCAAAGCAGCAGCCTTGGCGAGGGCTCAAGGTCCCTTGAGGCTGTGAAATGAGCCCAATCTGGCCTCTGGGGCGTGGCTGAGGGACTCCGGGGCCGTGGGGGCTACACACCCCAGCCCCCACAAGGCACACACGGTCTCCTCCGTCCTCGCTTACGAATTACTACAAAATTGCCCTCAAAGGGGCATAAACACCACAGGCCATGGCATTGCCAGAAATGAAATGGGCCCTGAGCTGAGCCCTGAGCACCCCCTTCCGCGGCGGCGCGGGCCTAGAGAAGGGGCGCCCTTGTTCCCCACGCTGAGGAGGGTGGGCAGGCACAGGACCCCAGAGCTGGGGAGGGGCTCCGCTCCCCAGAGGGACGGTGGCCGAGGGAGGCCTGGACAGGCCACCAGAGCAAACACAGCCAGGGTTTTGGTCAGTGCCAAGTGTGGGGAGAGGATCCGCAGTCCTGTGCAGCCACCGTGCAGTGGCCTGAGCGGTGCGCTCCCGGCACGGTCCAGACGGGGGCGCTAATTGGGGTAACACATGCAGCACCCTGTGCCTGCTGCCTCCACGCTGGGCTTGGCGCCGGGCCCCAAGAGTCCGTCAGTGACAGAGTGCTCCATGATGATGTCCTCCACCCGGGTGATGTACAGGAATGTCAGCAGCACCCCCAGGAACTGAGGAGCAAGGGCAGGGTGGGTGAGAGCCTGCTGGGGATCCGGGTGGCTCTCTCTGGCAGCCCCCAGCCCGGGCCCTTCTCTACCCCTCAGGAAATCCCAGAGACCCTCTCTGTGCCCCATCAGCAGAGGCCCCTCCATTCTGGGACTCCTGTCTCCAGCCCAGCTATGCCGCTCACTATCGAGGGGACCTCGGGCAGGTCACTTAATCTTGCCAAGCCTCAGTTTCCTCCTCTGTAAAATGGGCATGCTAATAGTATCTACCTCCCAGGACTGCAGACGGCTGTGCCTGTAAAGCACTTGGAAGAAGTTTATAAGCAAGGTTCTTGCCATTTGCCCTCTCCTTCCGGCCCTCTAGCCCTCCAAGGGTGAGCCCAGATTGATGGTACGAGAGCCTTCTTCACCCCACCCGTTTTGTACCTTTTCTGCCCTCTGTAATCACCAAGCCACACTCTCTGAACTGACACCTTGCCCACCATTCCACTTCCAGCTCCCTTCCCTGGGAGACGGGGCTGGGGGGGATGAGGACAGCCCACCTGGGGGAGCAGGATGCCCAGCAGGAGGCCCGCCATGATGGTGTAGTTGTCCATGAACCAGATGAGCACAGCGTTGGTGCAGCCCCGCACATAGATGACATCCTGCACGCTGAGGCGCTGCACAGGGAGGAGACTGGCTGACCCCTCGCCTGGCAGAGCCCCAGCCCCAACTCTGCTGCTCACTCGAGGTCCAGGCAAGTCCCTCATCCTCTCTGAGCCTCAGTTTCTCACATGCAATTTGGAGCATGGCTCTAGACCACTGGGTCCCCGTGGGTGGTAGTGTTCCCTAGAGAGCACTGAGGACATTGTGGTGGCACTTCTGGTTGTCACGGCAGTTGGGTTTGGGGACTGAGGGGCTGCAGAGCTAAGGGCAATCCTACTCACAAACAACTACCCTGTCTACCTGCCTCTCAGAAGTCCCCCGGGGCATCTAGACGGCTGAAAACCCATCCAGAATTCCCTGAGCCAAAAGGCCAACTCCCAGGACTCATAAAAACCAAAGTGTTTTCTGTGTGGTTTTGCTATGCGCAGATACACAGCGCGCGCGCGCACACACACACACACACATATATATACTGTACGTAATTTTGCAGAAATACTACTAAATTAAAGATGTAAATTCAAGAATGATTATATTGTATTTTGTTTGGAATTTTATCAAGAATTGCCCACCATTTTTAAAGACCACGTCCACGGCAAAAATAATGCCCATGGGGTTCCCGTTTGGAGCACAACTCCCCCTCCCACGGGTCAGCTGCCCCTGGGGGCAAACACCTGATTGCTTTGTTGCGTCTTCTGCTGTATCTAATGCCTGAGCATTTGCATGTGAAATATGCTATCTGATTGTAAATTGTTCTATTTCTCCTATTATCTCAGATCTGTCACTTGTTCTGAAATTAGGCGTGTAGGTAGATTATGTTATCTGTGAATTTCAATTCGAGATACTAACTAGGCCATTACCAGATGATTATTATAAAACCTGGCCATTGGGTCTGATGGCTTGAGAACCTCTGTGAGTCCATCACTCTCCAACTGAAACGTGTGTCAGAAGCACCTGTATTTCTATATGTGCGTTTCTAACAAGTTCCCTGGGGCTGCTGTTCCTGCTGGTCCAGGGACCTCACTTTGAGAACCACCACTCACAGGCATCTCAAGTTGTCATGATTTTTGGCTCCCTTCTCAGCACCACCACAGTGTCACTTCTTAGCCCAGCGGAGTTGCAAGGCAGGCTGGTGCTGAGCACGGCTGGGCACACGGGCATGCGGGGGTGGGGGCTAAGGGCAAGGGCTCGGTGGCCTCCCACGGACAAGCCCACAGTAGGTGCTCAGCAAACACAAGCAGGCAGGCTCTGCCGGCCTGGGGGGTTCTTGGCTCCCTGAGTCCTTCCATGTCTGGGCACAGGTGGAAAACCCTGGCAGTCCCCAACTCCTGTTCCGAGCCAAGAGCCCACACCCCCGCCAAGAACCCTTCCCATCACTCTGGGGATGGGACAGGAAGAGCAACCTTTCTCAAGGAAAGAGATTGCAAAGACATTACCTCCTTGTCAATAGTTCTGTAGCCGCACATGGTGTTGACCACTTCCGTCTGAAACAGAAACATGTGTTAGCTGTCACATCCATCGCGCTTACTATGAAGGACTGTTATTCTCCCCTTTTCCCTGACCGAAGCATTGAGGCACAGAGTAGCACCGTCCGTATGGATGGAGCTGAGACTCCCACCCGGGCAGTCTGGCTGGGGTCTGCATCTTAACCTCCCTTCCTCACCTGCGCCACTGCCCCACTCCAGAAGTGCCCAGGAGGACCGACGGGAAGGCTGGTTCTGTGAGGTTTGGGTGGGAGGAGCCCTCCACCAGCAGCAGCCCAGAACCCCCGAGAAAAGCGTGCCTTCCCGGGCTCCCTGCTGCAGGCGCCCCACGGCCACGGCTCTGCTGATAGGGTGGTGCAAGGTCTCGGAGGTGGGGCCCGGGCCGTTCTCGCTCCGCTCGCTCTGACCATGGAAAACCCCAGACCACAGCCAGGCCCCGGCCAGCTGCGCTTTACCTGAGGACCGGGCCGGGGCCTCCGAGCACACGTCCCTGCCCCTGCAGATTGCCATTCCACCAGCCGAAGGGCCACACAAGTGCCGGCCCAGGAAGGGAGCTGCTCTCAGGAGCTCTGGGCTGCCAATCCCCCCAGGCGCAGGGAGAGCTGTGGTCGGCGCAGGGAGAGCCGTGGTCGGCCCCGGGCGCCATCCCATCTCTTCCCAGCAGACCTAAGTCAGAGGGCGGGCAGGGGCTCGCACCCTCACTGCCCAGGCCCCTCGGGCGGTCTCCTCCTCCTCCTGCAAAGTGAGAGGAAGCGAGAGGCCCCGGCCCCATCCATGTGACTGGAAGCCGCTGTGTGGGGTCAGGGGGCCCCGGGTGCTGGCAGCCAGGCAGGTGCCACACAGTGGCCAGCACGGCCTCTGGCAGCACGTGGCTGGTCCAGATCCTGCTCTGCTCGCCAGGAGCTCTGTGGCCAGTCTTAGGTGTGCTGTCACGGGACTGAACATGGGGGCCCTGGATAAGTATTTGTTGAATGCATGCATGCATGAATGAATGAATGCATAGGTTCCTCGGTCTCTTCCATAAAGCAGTGGTGCTCAGTGACCCCACGTCATGGGGCTGTTTTGAACATAAAGCGAGATATACCCATCAGGGGCTTATCTCAGGGCTGGACACATGGAAGAACCCAGGGGCGCTGGCTGGAATGACTTTGGACAGGATCCCAGCCCCTGGAAGGCAAGGAAGGCTGTCTGCTCCTCCTTCCACAAGACTGGGTTGCACCTAAGGCCTCCTCTCAGATATCAGGACCTGGCTTGCAGGCAAAATCACCTCCCTTAGTCTAGACTGTACCCCAGGTGCCCTCAGACCCAAATCCATCCAGCATCCACTTAACGTCGCTCAGCTTTTGTGGCTCTTCTAGGCTGTGCGCACGGCCCTCGTGGAGAGGGTCAGGCCCGGAAAGCAGGTGCGTGATAGAATGAGGGGAACGGTGTTTTCTACCCTACATGTCTGTTCTTTCATTCATTCACTGAACAAATATTAACTGGGCACCCATTATGTACCAACCACTGTTCTAGATGCTGGGGAAGTAGAAGAACCAAGGAAAGTCTTGGCCTTCATGGAATTTATATTCTAGAAAGGGAGACACGCAATGAACACAGTAAGTAATTGATATGGTAGAGAAGGTGACAAGAGCAACCACTTGGCACTGTGCTTCCAGCCCTGGAGGCAGGGCCCTGCCGTCAGGCCCAGACCCCTCCTCCGGACTCGCCTCCCCTGCCAGGAGAGCCCCCTCCAAGGAGGGGGGATAAGAGGTCCCCGCGGTCTTTCCAAAGGTAAAGCCTGCCTGGGTTTGCCCACAGAACCGATATTCTCCAGAGGCTCTGCTGAAGGTTCACAGGCCCCAAGAGCTGCTCTGCAGTCTCTTCCATGTGGCACAGGGTCAAGGTCAGGAAGGGGACTCCTGAGCAGCCCAAAGACAACACAGCAAAGTTCACAAGGGTTCTTCACGGGTGCGTCCTCTCACTCTGGCCCAGGACTGATGAGCTGGGTTATCTGAGGCCTGAGAAGCGAGTGGGAAGGTGAAGAGAGAGGCCTGGAGGGACAGGCCCCCAAAGGGTAGCCAAAATTATGAGAGAGTGGAGAGCTATACAAATTGGACACAAGAGCTCAACAGGCACAGCTCTGGAGGCCATTTAATGGAGTGGCAAACTGCCCTCCCCACCAACAAATCTTGGGGACATCAGTGTAACCAAATTTCACAAGCCTGTATGAACTCTGTTGCTTCAAATCCTCTGTAGGAGGCTGGGTAGAAGACATTCCCTTTAAAGCTGAGAGCTAGGGGGGAAAGTGACTTGCCCTGAGGAACTGGTTGGCCTTCTTCTGCTGAACGGTCACAATGTAACAGACCACGTCTCCCCTTTTCCTCTGGCTGCCAGGAAGCTCTAAAGCACCAAGCACAAGGCTCTAGTTTCTGATTTTTAAAAATTTCCTTTTTTTCTTCTATGTATTTTCTGTGTGTTCGTTCAGATCTGTGGCTAAATGAAATAGTGACAATAAATAGATTCATACACAAGTTCATACACAGATTCTATGAAGGCAGGAAACACCCTCTTTTCTATTTAGACAAAACCATGGTGGGAGGCACAAGGAGAACCCACGGTGGTTTTGTAGTGGGAGACCAGAGATAACCCACCTCAGTGCTCCCATCCAGATGCTGGCTTCACGGCCACTTCTCTGCGGGGGGCATCCACGTTTATACTCCCGGCCTGGACTTCTCCCCCAGGCTCCAGCCCCCCTATATCCAAGTGCCTCTTTGACCTCCCTGATGGAAAATCACACAGGCTCCGCAGACCTGCCCTCTGCTGTCCTCCCCTCTCAGGCAATGGCAGCCCCGTCTTTTCTTATGACTCGGGCCAAAACCTGGGAGTCCTCCTTGATTTCTCTTTCCCTCATCTCCCACATCTGATCTGTCAGCAAATCCTGTTGGCTTATATGGAAAACAAAGCCAGAATTGGACCAAGTTCTTCTACCTCCACTAAGCCTCTGTCTTCTCCCAGCTGGTGTGGTGGACGCCGGGAGGAGCTTTCCAGAAGCCCTGCAACTGTGGGAGCCCAATCAGGAGGAGCCTTAGCTGTCAGTCCCTTGCGGTGATTGTCACATGTGGTTATTATTTTATGTGTCAACTTAGCTGGGCCTTGGGGTGCCCAGATACTCAAACATTATTCTGGGTGTTTCTGTGAGGGTGTCTTTCAATGAGATTAACATTTAAATCAGTAGACTGAGTAAAGCAGATTGCTCTCCCTACTGTGGGTGGGCCTCGTCCCATCACCTGAAGGCCTGAATAGAACAATAGGGCTGCCTCTCCCCCAAGGAACAGGACATTCTTCCTGCCCGTCTAACTGCAGACCTGAGTTGAAGCACTGGCCCTTCCTGGCTCTTGAGCCTGCCAGCCTTCAGACAGGAACGACACCATTAGTTCTCCTGGTTCTCAGGCTGTTGGACCCAGTCTGGAACTCCATCACAGGCTGTCCTGGATACCCAGCTGCCTGACTCCTCCTGCAGATCTTGCTCGCTAACCAGAATCTCAGAGCCTGCTTCCCTGACAGCCTGACCTGACACGGGCCGCTGCCCTAGCTCCTAACCAGACTCCCTAGGTCCACCTCTGCCCCACCCCCCACAGCAGTTAGAGGGACCCTGGTAAAGCCTAAGTCAGATCTGCCAGTCAGCTACCAAAACCCTTCATTTGACTCCTCGTCACTCATGGGAATACCAAAGTCCTGACCATGGCCTTCAGGGTACCCGGGGCCTCCCTGACTTAATCTGCTACTATTTCTCCCCCATGCTCACTCTGCTCCAGCCACATTGGCCTCTGTGCTGTTTCTCAAACACACCAGGGCAGTTCCTACCTCAGGGCCTTTGCACTTGCTGTTCTCTTTGCCAGGAATGCCCGTCCCCCAGATATACATGGCCTACCCCTTCACTTCCTTCAGGGTTTTACTGAGAACCTGCCTTCTTAGTTGCAATCCCCCACACCCTGCTTTTTCTCCTGAGCATTTACTGCCTTTGAGCATACTGTCTGTCACTTTTCATCTTGTCAGTCTTCCTGACTAGAATGTCAGTTCCATGCAGAGAGTTCTCTGTGTGTTTTCTGTACCCCCAGAAACTAAAATCACATCTGGCACATAGTAGGCCCTCAACAAATATCTGCTGAGTGAATGAATACACGTAGGGCTTGACCTGGACAGCTTGGCTTGGACACTCAGGTGCCACTGCCTTGGGTGATGAAGTTCAGGATCGCCCCCCACAGGGCTTCTCTGAAAACGCTGGGCTCTTCCCCAGCACTCCCCCTTCCCAGAAAGCTACCCTAAGATGGCAGCTAAAATTTCCAAACAAACCTTCCCTCCTGGCCCAGGCTTTTTTAAGGCTGGTGCACTTGGCACCGGCTCCCTGACTTACGGGAGAGGCCCCCACCCCCATCGACAACTGCTTGGTTTACAGAATCCAGGAGTGGGCGCAGAATGGCAGAGATGTTCGAAAAGAAATTTTCCATGACTATTCAGGGTATGAGTAATTGCAAAGCGCGCCACCTCATTCCAATCCAGAAACCAGGCAGTTTTTGGACACATTAGTCAAACACAGAGGACTGACGAAGCCCCTTCTTTGTAAGTGGTGACTCCAGAGGACAGCTTCCCAAGTGGCCATGGAGGTGACAGCACTGAGTGGGGGTCCTGCCAGGGGGAGGCCGTGGCTGGCATTTATATCACCACACCCATTCCCAGGTGCCGCCCAGCGAAGGCTGCAGAGCCGGCCGCCCCACGAGGCCCCCCTGGCCTGGACCCCTCTCCGCGCCTCCGTGTAGGAGTCCAGAGCACAGTTCCCATGATGGTGGCATTTCATTCCAGCCCCACCAACCCTGGGCAAGGCAGGCACCTAATGCTTTGGTGCCCCAACTTCTTCATCTGTGCAGTGGGTAAAGTAACAGGACCGACCCCACGGTGCTGTGGAAAGAGCTAAATGAGTTACCGCAACTAGAGAGCCTCGAACAGGCCCGCACATGGCAAGTGTTGGATCGCTGGTAAGGACCGCTACTAGCAGGACGACCTGCCCCGCCCCCACCCCCAGACGTACCCCTTCCAGTGGCCCTGGAGACCCGGGACGCCTTGGCAATGACCACCACCTCCTGCCTGCCCCCCATTCCTGAAAGACGGGAGGCGGGTGCCGGGTCGGGGTGGGTACCGTGTTTCTGACGCAGCAGGTGTAGGGCACCCCACAGGCCAGCGGTCCAGGGGCGCTGCAGTCGTGGTACTGGTTTTTGCTCCAATCCCGGTAGTCTTCCCCGCCACAGCACTTGAACTGAGAGGAAAACAAGCAGGGAAGGGGGCTGCCATCACCGCCCGAGGCCCCAGGCGCCCGCCAGGAAGGGGCCCCGCCGAGAGACCCGGCGGTTTCTGAGCGGGTCACCTGGGAGGGGGGCACCAGAGGCTGTGGTTATCAGCCAGTTGCCCGGGAGGTAGGGAGCACCCCATCACTGGAGAGGCGTGTAAGCCAAGGCTGGGCAGCCTCTCGGAGGGTTACCAGTGGTGGGGAGGCTAGACACTGGAGGGAAAGTCGTTCCTTGACACCCCCATCTTCACATCCCAGGGCAGCTGCTCGACCCTTGAAGGTCCCAGAGACTAGGATTCTATGGGCCGCCCCCACAGCCCAGTGGCCCCTAAGCCACAGTCACCCAGCTCTGCCTGTCAGCCCTCAGCACAGGGGCACACACACCTCACGTCCTGCCACAGGCTCAGGACGGCAGGGGTGGCAAGGCGGCCTCATTTTCCCCTTAGCTTAGCTGCTCCCCGCATCTCCCCCTGCACTGGTGTGGGCGCCCAGGGAAGCAGTGATTCCCCTGAGGGGCTGACGTGTGATAGGTGTGGTGGCTCGCACCAGAGCGACAAGGGTGAGCCAAAGCCACACAGCCGCGGGCGACAGGGACAGGCTCCGCTGGGGAGACAGGGAGTCACCACTACGTGGAAAGGTCAGTGGGGTAGCGTTGCGTGCCAGGGGCGTGGGAAAAGAGGAGAAGGGGGTTGGAGGGGGCGGCTGTACGTTGGGAGGTCAGGAGAGGCCCCTCTGAAGAGATGACATTTCATCTGAAACATGAAAAGCAGGAAAAAGCCAGTCAACAGAGCATAGGCCCCGCGCAGGATGAGTGAGGTGTAGGCGGGTCGCAGGTACGGAGGCCCGTGTGTCCGGAGCAGGGCGAGGATGATGTGAGGGCCAGGTGGAGAGGCCGGCCTAGGCCACCCCACGCAAAGCCGCGTTAGCCAGAATAAGTAGGGGGCTGGGATCATATTCGGAGTGATGGCGAGTCACTGGAAGGTTAACGAGGGGAGTGACAGGGTCAGAGGTCCCAGCACAAGCACAAAGCAGACACCCTTCCAGAGTCCCCACAGAGGGCTTCCGGCTGTCAGCTCTCAGGACCTGGCAGTGCCTCCCCAGGGTGCTGCTCAAAGGGCATTTGCTTTGAGTTCAAGAGTCCAAGAGACTAGAGTTCAAATCCTCATACTACCATTCCTAGCTGTGTGACTTTGGGCAAGTTGACCAGCCTCTCTGGGCCTCAGATCCTCATGTGCCAAGCAGGAAGAGCAATGCTGGCATTGCACAGCTGAGCTGAGGATTACAAAGTCAGGCCGTGCATGAAGCACTCAGCCTGGGAGAAATGAAATCCCCAAGCCAGGGGAACGCTGGTTCCAATAAAAACATTACGCTTCACCCGATGGCCAGAGCTGGCCGACACGCCCCTGGCAGAAAGGGGCCTCCCGGAGGCTGCACCTGTTGTGACTACAGTGAAGGCCTGAGCCAAGGGAGTGGCCACCACGGGTGGCCGTGGGCGCGGGGAGATCTGGTTCTCGCTGAGGGCTAGCCCCGGCAACCAGGCCCGCTGAAGCCCCCTAGACCATGTCCCAGGAAGCTGCCAGGGCTGATTCTCGCCGAGGAGAACATGGTGGCAGTGGTCGCCACAGTCGAGAGGAAGGGGCCCCCCACAACCCCCTGCTGCCGATGAGAACCTGAGCCTCAGAACTAAGTGAGACTGATGTACAGAAACCACCAAGGGCAGTGCTGGCCTGCCACAGCTGTTATTATAACACCAGCAGACGTGGGTGGACCTTGCGGGGGAAGGGGCAGTATCCCCAGAAGATGATCATTGCATTCAAAGAAGTGTTACAGGGGCGCCTGGGTGGCTCAGTCGTTGAGCGTCTGCCTTCGGCTCAGGTCATGACCCCAGGGTCCTGAGATCGAGCCCCACATCGGGCTCCCTGCTCCACGGGAAGCCTGCTTCTCCCTCTCCCTCTGCTTCTCCCCCTGCTTGTGTTCCCTCTCTTGCTGTGTCTCTCTGTCAGATAAATAAATAAAATCTTAAAACAACAACAACAACAACAAAGAAGTGTTACAGAGGAAAAGGAGAAGTCCTGTTCTGTTCCCCAATGCAGGGGGAAGTGGAATTGGGGAAGAGTGCTCTCGACCTCAGGGCTGTCCCTGATTTGCCAGGAGTGAGCTCCCCGTCCCTGAAGGGACTCGGCAGAAAGGTCTCTGAACTGGGCAGCTAGGAGGTCTGTCTCTCCCACCTCAGGGAAGGAGGACCTTTGCCCATTGGAGAAGGGTCCCCTGGAACCCTGCAAGGAGGCTTGTAGCTATAGCAGATCTTATTCTAAAAAAAATTTTTTTTGATGGGGGGCTATCTATGTAATTAAAGAGAGGGAGAGGAAGGACATTCTGGGCCAGGCATGTGGTTGAGAAGGTCAGGCCCCCACCCTTGGTGCCCATCCACGGCCCCGCCACTGCCTTGCAACTTGGCCAGCACCAGCTTTGGGAATGGATAAGCCACTGCTCCCTCGCCCCCACCCTTGCCCTCTGGAGCGAGGTCCTGAGCCAGGGGCAAAGGGCATGGCAGGCGCATCTCTGACCCAGAGCACCTGGCTCACCTCCTTCTGAACAAAGTCCATGATGTTTTTGAAGTCCAGATCGTCATAGTAGTTCTCGATTCCTCTTCGAATGTTGTCATTCAGAAAGTCGATGGTCTATTTAGATGGAGACATTACAAAAGAAACAGACAACCCCCCACCCCCTCAAAGTCCAATCCAAGAGCTCCCAGAACTCGGGACTGGAACAGAAAGCCCACAAGCCCAAGTAGCCCCCACCCAGGCTGCACCACCTCCCTGCCCACACCTCTTTGCATCCCGGTGCCCATCTGATACCTGTGTCCCTTTGCCACGTCTGAGCAGGAATGATTCACCCCCTTTCCTATACAGAATAGAGAGCCCAGGCACCAAGAGATGGGACCCTGTCTGGGGAAGCAGCCACGCCAGGCTGGGACTTGGCTGGCCCGGGTCCCAGCCTGGTGCCCTTCCCACTGCCCAAAGACAGGCCTGAGCCGAGTCTTTGTCCTCCAGGCCTCCTCTCCACTCTTGTCTGCTATCCAAGCTCTTGTGTTATGGATAAGGAAACTGAGGCCCAGACAGGGGGCCTGGCTCTCCCGGGGCACAGAGCAGGCTGGTTAGGGGCCTGGCCAGGACTGGAAATCAGGTCTCCTGACTTCCCCAGTGGGCCACTCTTCATCGCTGCAGGGCTCTGGGCTGAAAGACAGGGCCCACCTCCTGGCTCGGGCGGGACGATCCCCACCGGGAGTAGCGCTGGCACATCGCCCTCTCCCGGTCACGCTGGGCCTTCTGGATCAACAGCCCGGCTGTTGTGCTGAAATCCAGGAGCACAAAAGGCCCCACAGCGGGAAGGGGTGGGGGCGGGAGTGTGGGCTGCCCAACCCCACGCTCCTAGCGACAATCAGGGCTTTCAGCGCTGGGAGGCCCGCAAATCACCAGAGATTGAGCTGGCACAAAGGGGGCATTCTTGGCTCTGGAGCCAGACGATCCCTGGGGGAGGCGCCTGTGGGTGCCACTGGGAAAACAGGGCCCTGGGTTCCAGGCCTGGTCCTGCCACTGCAGGCCACACCACAGCTACCTCCCCTCTCTGAGCCTCGGTTTCCCACTTGTGAACCAAACCTGCAGGCCTATCTTTGAGATAACTACCAGCTCTGAGGGTCAGAGACAAGGCTGAGAGGGGCCGCCAAGCCTCGTGGTCAAGAACAGTTCCGGTAGCCACCTGGGCCTCAGACAGCTCATTTAGCCACCAAGCCTCCACTTCCTTACCTGCCAAACGGGGAACATAACCTCTGCCTTGGAGAGATTTGAGTTTAGATAAACTAAAGCTACAAATGTGCTTAGCAAGGGGCCAGTCACATGGTAGGCCATGGTATTGTTATAGATCTTTCTCTTCTTTTCCTGGAGACACATACCCTACAGGACTGCTTCATACCCATCACGTCATCAGTGAAAAATGGCTAATCCCAAGGGAAACCGAAGCCTCAAGTCTTGTCCAAAAGGCCTCCTGAGGTGGAAGCGGCCTCCCAAGCAAGAGCCAGCCCCTAGCCTCGGACCCCTCACAAACACCCTGCAGCCTGGAGAGGTAATCTGACCAAGGTCACTCCACTGGTTGCTGGCAGAAAGATGCCAGGACTCCCGCAGGGCTGGAGATGGGGGGCCAGCAGATGAGAGCAAGAGGCCCTGGGCAAGGTCGGCAGAGGGGATGCCCAGTGGCCTGGTGGGGAAAGGCTCTCCCTCCCTCTTCAGTAAGTGGCTCTGACCTTTCTCCCCAAACCAACTCAGTCTCTGGGTACTTTCCAAACATGCTGACTCCAAAAAGGCCTCTGCAAAAATCAGGCCTCCCATCTGGTAAGCTGAGCTGGGTCCCTACAGGGAAGGGAGGCCCCACTGGAGGCCCCTCCGAATGGGCAGGAGGAACAGATGGCCCCAGGCTCCATGGACAGCAGCTGCCCCAGCTCCCTCAGGGACCTCTTCGGATCAGGCTTGCTCTTGTGCCCTCCTACATGTGTGTGCGCATGTGTGTGCGTATATATACCAGAGATATGAGGATACTTAGGTGGTCCTTGTGCCGTGATGGGGCTGGGGATGGATGAGAAACTCCAGTGAGACAAGCAAGCTGCCCAGCTCATGAATTTAACTGCAAGGTGCTCAGCTATGTTCAGCTACGTTCTACGGGACTGGGGGAGCCACTAGGAGGATGTGCCTTGTGGGGCACAGCAGGGATCCTCTGCCCCTTGGGGACCAAACCCCCAGTGCCACCCCCGCCCTGCTCGAAACCAGCTCACAGCAGCAGGGCCAGCTCCAACTAGGGTGAGAAAACCACCTTTCCTCGCCAGGCTGGCATGGCTTCACAGGGGCCACATGGCCTGGCTAAACTAAGCAAAGCATAAGCAAACATCAAAGGCCACAGGATTTTCAGAGCCTATTGTTTAAATCACCAGAGGCAAGCTGCAAAGAACCGTCCTTTCTAGTTCTTTCTTTTAAATCTAATTTTAAAGCTTTCCAAAGCCTCTGCGGCACAGCTTCCAGCAGAGGGGCTTGGTGTTTTTAAGTGAATGAGGAATCAAGGGGGTGGGGCATGTGGCAGCCCCGCCCCCAGGCCCAGAGGCTGAGGAGCAGGGGGAGGAGGGAGGAGTGGAAGGGCGGCCACAGGAGCCTCCCTCCTGGCCTCCAGGGATGGCGCTTCCGTGGCTCTCTCCCTGAGACCCAAGGCTGCAGAGGCCCTGCTGACACCAATACCAGCCCGGTTGTCACAATGTGGAGGGGCTGCTCAGCCTAGAACGTCCTTTCTTCCCTTGCACGTGAGCCTAGCCCGCATCTCTGGGCTTCCCTCAGTGCCCCAGACTGTGGGGACGCGTCCTCTTGCCTCCAGTACTGAGACAGGCTCAGTCGAACAGCCAAAGCCTGACGAGAACCCAGGGAGCAAGAAGAAAGGAGGAGAGAGGGCTACAAGGTTCTTTGGAACATTTGCCAGATCCTTCCACCAACCCTGCTGGAAGTCACAGGTTTAATCCAGGGTGGGGGTGGGGGAGGGGGAGAGGAGGTCCTGCTTCAGCTTCGCAGGGACTTGGGCCTCCAGTTCTCACTCCCACACGTTGTCCACAATGCGGCACAGCAGCTGGGAGAGTCTGGCCAGGTCTCAGGGCAGAACCTCCTCTACTTTGCTCCGGGTGGGCAGGATATATGTGTGTCCACATGCTCCATCAAGCAAGCCACGGTGTCATCTCCTTTCTCCCTACCCCTGGCTTCAAGGGCGTGTCCTGAACCAGCTAGTGCCGGTGCCATGATAAAACAAACAGGTCAGATGCTGTCCACCGTGCCGTGGCCTGGTATGACCCCAGCATCCTCTGATCAAGGCCAGGAAAGAGGCCACTCTTCACCCCTTCCTTGGCAGTGGAGGGAAGGTAGAGGCCAGGAGGCCTGGGCTGGGGGTACAGACATACCAGCTACCACCTGGCACCCTCTGGGTCTCCCGCTCAGCTCCGCCTGACTGGCGACACGTGGGCAGGTGTTGCCCTCTTCCAACACCCCTGCACCCTCAAGAGAGGCCCCAGAACAAGCTGGAGTACTGGTAGGTCAAGGTGAGACCCAGACAGTTGTGGAAGTCACTCAGGTTCTTCTCGCACGGGCTGGGGTCAGGACACTGCATTTCTGATGCCCAGGCCCTTGGAGCTCTGTGCCCAGCTTCCCAGTGCGCAGCTGCTAGACTCTGTACAACAGAGAAGCCACTTGAGTCTGACCATCAGGTCATGCCCGATAATGGAAACCCTGCCCAGGGTCAGGGATGGAGAGTCTTGTCTTTATACCTAGGTGTTTTGTTGATTTCTTGCTGCCAGCGGTGGCCATGGCCTGTGCCCCTTCCCGAGAACCACGTGTGAGGTCATTAGCCTAATTTGTTCTCATCTGGCACCACGAGTGGATTCTTAGATTTACAGGTAGCCTGTGGAGCCAGACTTGTTATAGTAGGGCTCAGAGAAATGTTTCTTCTCCTCTTGGTGAGGAGAAAGTGGAACTGGGGACTCACCTCCTCCTGGCAGCTGACCTTCATTGCTCCCCACCTTTTCTCTCCACCCTACGCTGCCCCCTCCTGCTGCCGTCAACAGCCATCCTCAGCACTGGCCAGTCTGGTATTTTCCATTAGAGTTAGAAGGGACATTATTTTTCTGTATATGGTATTTTCCCCCATGATTATAAGAAAAAGAAAATTTGGGAGCCAGGGAAAAAATATCAAGAAGAAAATAAGAATCACCCTAGCCCTACCTCTCAGAGGAAATAAGAGTTAATATGAGAATATTTCTGTTTTTTTCCAGGTTTTTCCAGGCCTGTTTTTTTCATGGTAGAGATCTTACTGCATTTATAGTTTTATATCTCATTTTTCATTTATTTTGAATTATATATCACAGGCATATGAGAACATGGCTCATGATGAGCCTCAGAAGAGCCAAGAGCCCTGATAGTGAGGGTCCTTCCTGGGCTGCACACAGAGATCCTCCCCTGACAGGACCCCGTAAGGGGACTCCCCATCCAATCCTCAGGCTTTGGGGATAAGGAGATAATGAGAAGCTCTTAGCCCTGACCTCAGCCCATGGCATCCTTAGCTGTGAGGACCAGAGAGCTCAGCCCTCCGGCTGGATGAAGGAGCAATTGGTGTCATGGCCGCTACTGACCTATGGGGGACTGGAAAATGATAAACCAGCCTGCCTTTGAGATAGCATGCTGGAAACCAGAACTGTTGCTCATTTAGGGGATTGTTAACTAAAACAATCGATGCTGCTGACCACAACCTGGACCTGAGCTCTAGCTAGGAAAGCACTAATCCAGAACCTCTGGAAAGCCACAGGCTGGCTGGGAGCCCAGTGACTGCACAGAAACGCATCCCCAGGGACAAATGGAATAGACACCTCTCTCCCCTCAGGCTGCGGAGACATGAACCAATACCTTGATCTTCCAGCTCAGAGAGGATGGTCTGAAAGACAGAAAAGGGGAAGAGGGAGGAGCAAGTAGTGACACTAGGTTGAAAAGACAACAATGGGGCAAAGAAAAAGGAAAATAAAAGAATATTTTGAGACAAACAAAAATGGAAACACAACATACAAAACTTCGGGGATGCAGCAAAAGCAAAAGCAAAAAGCTTAGTTCTCAGAAGGAAGTTTATAGCAGTAAACATCTACCTTAAGAAAAAAAGAGAAAGACCTTGAATGAAAAATCTCACTTTACACATCAAGAAAGCAGAAAGAGAAGAGCGAACTAAGTCCAAAGTTAGTAGAGGGAAGGGAATAACAAAGATCTGAGCAGAAACAAATGAAATAGAGACTAGAAAGACAATAGAAAATATCTATAAAATTAAGAGTAGATTTTTTTAAAGATAAATAAAATTAACAACCTCGAGCTAGACTAGGAAAAAAACAGACAATTCCAATAAATAAAAGCAGATATGAAAAAGGAGACGTCATAACCAATACCACAGAAATACAAAGGATCATAAGAGACTACGATGAACAATTATCCACCACCAAACTGGGTAACCAAAAAGAAATGGATAAATTCCTAGAAACACACAACCTACCAAGGCTGAGTCATGATGAAATAGAAAATCTGAACAGACCAATAACAGGTCAGGAACTAGTAAACTAGTAAAACTCTAGGACCAGATGGCTTTACTGGTGAATTCTACCAAATACTTAAGGAATAATTAATACTAATCTTTCTCAAATTCTTCCAAGATATCGAAGAGGAGGAAACGCTTCCAAAATCATTACGAGGCCAGCATTCCTCTGATACCAAAGCCAAACGAAGACACTACAGGAAAAGAAAATTATAGGCTGATATCTCTGATGAACATAGCTGTAAAAATCCTCAACAAAATATTAGCAAACCAAATTCAACAACACATTAAAAGGATCATAGCCGTGATCGAGTGGGATTTATCCCTGGGGTGCAAGGATGGTTCAACAGCTGCAAATCAATCAGTGTGATACACCACAATAACAATGAAGGATACAAATCATATGATCATTTCAATAGATGCAGAAAAAGCATTTGACAAAATACGATACCCTTTTCTGACAAAAATGCTCAACAAATTAGGTATAGAAAGAATGCACCTCAACATAACAAAGGCCATACATAATAAACCTGCAATTGACATACTCAGTGGTGAAAAAGTGAAAGCCTTTCCTTTAAGATCAGGAAGAGAAAAGCGTCTACTCTCACTACTTCTATTCAGCTAGTCCTGGAAGTCCTAAGCCAGAGCAAGGAACTTAGGCAAGAAAAAGAAAAAAAAGTCATCCAAACCAGAAAGGAAGTAAAATTTTCTGTTTGTACACGACACGATCTTATATATAGAAATCTTAAAGACCCCAGGGGCGCCTGGGTGGTTCAGTCGGTTGAGCATCTGACTCTTGATCTCAGCTCAGGTCTTGATCTCAGGGTCATGAATTCAAGCCCCATGTCAGGCTCCATGCTGGGCATGGATCCTACTTAAAAAAAAAAAAAAAAAAAACAGGAAAAAGAAATCTTAAAGATGGCAGCAAAAATCTGTTAAAACCAATAAACAAATTCAGTAAAGTTGTAGAATTCAAAAATCACCCTACAAAAATCAGTTGCATTTCTATACACTAACAATGAACTATCCAAAAAATAAATTAACAAACCCATTTACAATAGCATCAGATAGAATAAATTATTTAGGGATAAGTTTAACCAAAGAAGTGAAAGATCTATATACTGAAAATCACAAAACACTGATGAAAGAAATTGAAGACAACACAAATAAAGGGAAAGATATCCCTTGTTCACGGACTGGAAGACTTAATATTACTAAACTATTCATACTACCCAAAGTGATCTACAGATTTAATGCAATACCTATCAAAATTCCAACAGCACTTTTTCACTGAAATAGAAAAAAACTCTTAAAATTTGTGTAGAACCACAATATGACCCCAAAAAGCTAAAGCAATCCTGTGCACAAAAAGCAAAGCTGGAGGAATCATACTTTCTGATTTCAAACTATATTATAAAGCTACAGTCATCAAAATAGTATGGTACTGACCCAAAAAACCCACACATATAGATCACTAGAATAGGATAGAGAGCCTAGAAATAAACCCAGTCATACCCACTAATTTTCTATAAAAATGCCAAAAATACACAATGGGAAAAGGATAGTTTCTTAAATGGTGCTAGGAAAACTGGATATCCACATGCAAAAGAATAAATTGGACCATTATCTTACATCATACACAAAAATCAACTCAAAATGGATAGAAGACTTAAAGATAAGACCTGAAATTGTAAAACTCTTAAAAGAAAGCATAGGGGGAGAAATCCCAGACATTGGTCATGGCAATGATTTTTTGGATCTGACACCAAAAGCACAGTTAACAAAGGCAAAAATAAACAAGTGGGACCACATCACACTAAAAAAATTCTGCACAGCAAAGGAAAGAAACAAAAAAATGAAAAGGCAACCTACAGAATGAGAGAAAATATTTGTAAGCCATATATCTTTTAAGAAGTTAATATCCAAAATGTATAAGGAAACCTTATAACTGAATGACAACAACAAATGATCTGATTAAAAATGGGCAGAAGAACTAAATAGATATTTTTCCAAAGGAGACATCCAGATGGCCAACAGTTACATGAAAAGATGCTCAACATCACTCATCATCAGGGAGATACAAATCAAAACCGCAATGAGATATCACCTAATGCCTTATTTGAATTGGCTATTGCCAAAAAGACAAGAGATAACAAATATTAGTGGGGAGAAAAGGAAACCTTTGTACACGGTTGGTGGGGATATAAATTAGTATAACCAGTACGGAAAACACTATGAAAGTTCCTCCAAAATTTCAAAATAGAACTATACCATATGAACCAGTAATCCCGCTTGTGGGAATATATCCAAAGGATATGCCGTCGCATTACTCACCATAGCCAAGATATGGGAACAACCTAAGTGTCTATTGACAGATGAATGGATAAGGAAATATGCTTATTTATTTAACATATTTACATATTTTTATTTTTATATTGTATTGTATATATATCCATTGCATACACACACAATGGAATATTATTTAGCCATAAACAAAGAAGGAAATCCTGCCATTTGTGACAACAAGGATGGACCTTGAGGGCATTACGCTGAGTGAAATAAGCCAGACAGAGAAAGACAAATACTGCAGGGTATCACTTGTATGTGGAACCTAAAAAAGAAAAAGGAAGTCAAACCCATAGAAATCAGAGAGTAGAGTGGTGGCTACCAGGGGCTAGGGATAGGAAATAAGATGTTGGCCAAGGGTACAAACTCTCAGTTATACAGTGAATAAGTTCTGAGGATCTACTGTATGGCATTGTGACTCTAGCTAATAACACTGTATTGTATACTTGAAATTTGCTGAGAATAGATCTGGAGCATTCTCACTAAAAGCAGAGTTCCTGTGTGAGGTGATGGATGTGTTATTTAACTTGATTGTGGTAATCATTTCACAATGTATATGTAAATCGAATCATCACATTGTACATGTGCATGTAAATATGTTGCAATTTTACTTGTCAATTACACCTCCATAAAGCTGGGGGGCGGGGAGGAAAAAAGAACTGAAACCGAAGAGCTGCCTCTGTCTTGCTGTGTGCTGTGGGGAGGGCTTCCTAAACTCTCTGTGCCTCACTGACTCCATTGATTTGATGGGAGTCTCCCTACCCCTCTCCTGCAGTTCCTAAAATGGGAAGAAGACCCCTGGATTCCAGGGGTGTAGACAAGCCTATGTTCAAGGGCCTCCCCTGCTGCCCCCTCCCCGGGGCCGGGATCCAGCTGCACCCACGAGGAGTTTGGCAGGAGTCAAACACCAGGTCACTGGAGGGCTCTGTAGCCCCCTGTGTCTGGGATAGCGACGGCCGCCCTGGGCTCAAGCTCTGACAAGAGAGAAAATGGGGCCACAGCCCTCAAGCACCTGCTCAGCAGCAATGCCCGAGAGCGCCAGGAACCGAGCTGTCTGGGTGGGGCGGGGTGGCGGCAGGGGAGTGGACAGACCGAAGAGAACTTACTCAAACTCACCCTGCTCCCCAAGTCCCACCTGCAACACCAAAGCTGGGATGAAGGCAAAGGAATGCGATTATGGGAGAAATGACAGAGCCTTGGGTTGGAAGTCAACCCCACACAGCCACTAGGTTATTGTGGGGTCTTGGACAAGTCATTTCTCTCCTCCAGGCTTCGGGACAGAGGAGCTGATAGGTAACAAGGGTCCACCGGGGGCCATAACCACGCCGGGTCCCTCACATGCCTTCTCTCATCAAATCCTCACCCAAAACCCAGTGAGCTAGGAGTAATAATCCCCTGGGAACCTGAGGATCTGAGAGGCTACCCAAGGTCACACAGCCAGTATGAGGCGCACACAGCCTGCAATAGAAGGATTGGAGACCAAAAGCCCTGAGAACCTCGCCAGCTCAAAGGGGCCCTGATTCTGCCAACTCTTCCAGGGCCAAGCCGTCATCCCCTCCTTCCTAGACGACAGCCTCCAACTGGCCCCTCCACAGCCTCCCGCCTCCCTACTGTCCATTCTCCACTCAACAGCAAGTAAACTGTAAATCAGATCACATCACTTTCCTGCAAAACTCTCCAAAGGCTTCCTACTACTTTTAGAAAAAATTCTGAGCACCCAAACCATTGCCTACGAGAACCTATGAGGTCTGCCGTGGTGGCCCTTCCAACTTTGCCTTCTGTCCCTCCCCATCACTCACCCGCTTCAGCCCAGTGGCCTGCATGCTGGCCCACAGACCTGCCAAGCTCCTTTCTGCCTCAGTGGTTCCCTCTGCCTGGACCTCCGTTTCCCCTGCCCCTCACCTGGTAGGTTCCTTTTCATTCTTTCATCATTCCCTCATCCACCCCAGGCACTCACCTGCCACCTGTTCTGTGTTCTTGTACTCTGGTCTACTCGTTCAGTGCCCATCTCCCCAGCAGAATGGACATTCCACAGGAATTATCTACCCTGCTCTCCGCACACCCCTAGTTTATAGCCCAAGGCACACACGGTGGGTGTTCAGCATACACATGTGGCTGACACCTGCACCAGAGGCCCACCTGGTTCCGGAAGATCAAGGCCACCACGCCACCGATGAGCTCAATTATGAGGCAAATCCCAAGGATGTACATAAACTGAAAAACAAAATTCAGAGATTCACCTAGAGGGGCAAGCGAAGGGCCATTTGCTCCAAGGTCAAGTCTACTGGAGCTCTTATTGGCCCCTGGGCCTTTTGCTCCTTCTTCCCGTGAGGACACAGGATGTGGACAGATATTCCCCGGGAAAACCCATCTCTGGAGCCAGTCAGTGGTCAGGAAGGGTGACTCAGCTGTCCAGGCCAGACTGCTATTGAGGTTTGTCTCAGGAGAACTCAGCAGCGTCTGGGTGGAAAAACACCCCCTCCCATCACAGCCCCACCACGAGGACAGCTGGTCCCCACTGCAGCTGACCCAGAGGCAGGCCTGGCCTGATGGGCTAGGGTAGCATCTCCAGCTCTGCCCGCAGAGCCCCTCAGAAGCGCTTCCCAGACTTCCCAGAGTGGGTGACGTGATGTCTGAGGCTTGAAGGATATATACCCCCACCCCTGCCCCTAATCACAGGGCAGCCCTTGTCCAAACTGATGCCAGCAACTTCCAGCCTCAGCCAGCACCAATACCCTGCTTGTAAGGGCTTTTAGGAGCTTCCCACGTGAGGGGTGACGTGAGGTCAAACACACATGTGGGCGCAGAGTGAATCTGCCAACCCAGTCCCCCCCCCAGCTTTGGGGAGCCATTCATTACTTCACAGAAAGGGGGCCGGGTGGGGTTGACCCCAGGGCAGGTACTTGGCCCAAGCAGGCCCATCGGAGTCCTGGGACTTGGGCCAGAGGTTACCAGGAAAGATTCCCCAAATCCGGAGCTGCAAAGACCATTAGCCTGAGGCTGCTGGTGACTATTGCAAAGACAGCGTGAGGCCTGGGAGGCGGCAAAAGAGAGAGAGCCCAAGGGCACCATCTACACCCCTGGTCCCAGTGTGGGTTTGCTGATGCTGTGAGCCAATGACTCACCACCAACGTTTTTGGGGTTTACTTGCTCTCATTCCAGTGTGGTTTCTCCCACTCGCAATTGAGAGGCCAGACCAACGCAGGGTTTAAATAAGAAGAATGGGATTCAAATCAGCCTTGACATGCAAAAGTGGAAGTGGCTTGGTCTCTCTTGGGCCAAGGTGAACAGGTAGGCTGATCCAGGAAACCCTCTAGAAAGTCTCGTTTGAGGCAAGGACTGAAAAAAAAAAAAAAAACGGGCTGCCCAAGGGCCCCGAGGCAGTCTCCTCAGCTCTCCGGGGGGCTCCAAGGACCGCTCCCCCCGCCCACCCGCTGAGGGGCACATGGGGCCCACTCACCGCTTGGAGAAGGCACAGGTTGTCACGGAGGGAAGCCAGCACGCCAATGAAGGAGACAATGAACATGATGACCCCCAGGAGGATAAGGATGATGGCCGGGGCCAGAAAGGCGCTTTCAAGGGTCTTATATTTCTGTCGTTCCACCTCTGCGTAGATCCCCACTGACAGGACCAAGGCTCCGATCAGCTGCAGCAAGAAAGCAGGGGGTGAGAGGGAAGAAAGACTGGCAGTCACTTGATGATCCTACAAAGAGTTCATCTCGGGGCTACGATGCCTGTCACGGGGGGGGCTCACCCCAGAGGACCGTACATGAGGGAAGCTGCTATGGGCTGAACTGTGCTCCCCCAAAGTTCAGACGCTGCACTCCTAACCTCCCCCCCTTAGTACCTCAGAATGTGACTATATTTGGAGATAGAGCCTTCAAACCAGTAACGAAGTTAAAAATGAGGTCATATGGGGGGCCCTTAATCCAATAGGGACTGGTGTCTTTATAAGAAGAAGAGATTAGGCCCCAGACACACACAGAGGGGAGAGCACGTGAGGACACAGGCAGAAGGAGGCCATCTGCACCCCAAGGAGAGAGGCCTCGGGAGAAACCCACCCTGCCGGACCTTGATCTTGGCCTCCCAGCCTCCAGAGCTGTGAGGAAATAAATTTCTGTGGTTGAAGCTACACGGGCTGTGGCACTTTGTTAGGGCAGCCCGAGCAAACTGGCACAGACCCTCTTTAGAGGAAAGTACCGCTGAGCTGGCGGCCCCGTGATACCTCCTCCACAGGCGGGTCACCCAGGGACATTTCAGAGCTGCTAAACGCAGCACCCTGAACGTGGAATATATAGGCAGGAGGACCATCGGGAAGGAGGAAGGTTAGGGTAGGAGGAATTTTGAGGGGATTTTTTAAGTCAAATTCCTTGTTAATCAACTTTCCCAGCAGTGGAAAGATGACTGAGTCCCACTCTGTCAGGAAAAACCAGGTCACAAAGCCCTTGGAGGGCCCCGCTTGTCCCTCAGCCTCAAAGTCTCGTGCTAAATTTTCAGGGAGTTTTACCAGCTGACACCACTCCCAAGCCTCAGACGAGTCTGGGGCTACACTGCCGCCCTGGGATCCCACTGTAGTGTCCTGACTGGCCCCCTTCGGCCCATTCTCCACATCAGAGTGACCAGGCAAACCCAAATCAGAGCAGGCTGGTTCTCTGTGCACCAAGAATGAAAGCCACAACCCTAACCACAGATGACAGGTCCACACAACCTGTCTGAGCTCACCTCTCACTTCCTTCCCTCCCTTCCTCGGCTTTCCCAGCACTGGGCTCCTTGCTGCTGGTGGAACACACTCAGGGAGCCACCCCAGGGCCTTTGCACAGGCTGTTCCCACTGCCTAGAATGCTCTTCTTCCTGACATCCACATGGCTCACCCCTTCATCTCCCTCTTGTCTTTTGCTCAGTTGTCACCTGCCTTGTGAGGCCTTTCTGGGGCCATCTTATTTAAAAGTAGAAAATCCTTTCCCCTCAAACTCCTGATCCCATTTCCCATTTCATTTTTTCTCCTCTGCCCTGACCAGTATTTAACGAGCAGCTTTCTTCTTTTACTTTGTAATTGTTTGTCTTCCCCAAGAGACTCTAAGCTCCATGTCAGGAGGGATTTTCCAACTGTTTGGGGCATCCCCAGCACCACGACAGTTCCTGACATTTAGGAAGTACAGTTGGTGCTTACAATCAATGTGTATTGAATGGATGCGTGCCGGACTTCCCTTGGGCTTGAGTCTGACGCTGTGTACCCCGTCTCCTGCTTGTCCAAGGATTCTGAGTTTCCGGGCCACACCTTCCTGAGAGCAAGGACACATTGCCAGATATGCTGGAGAAGGTGGCGTGGGACAGTAACCAGAGCCGTGGCACAGCCAGCTAAGGTCCAAGGAAAGGAAGTGAGGAGTGACACCGACAGGATGTTGGTGAGATACCCTAGAGTCAACAGCTAGAAAACTGAGGGGGCCACCTCTCCAGTTCCCCACTGGCCTTAAATTGGCTCTAATGTGCCCTCAAAATAGATCCCCTTGACGTCCTTCTGAAGAGTACTAAGAACGCCCTGGAGGAGTAAACTGTAGTTTAGGGAAAGCAGGGAAGTGCCTGCTTTCTCCAAAGCTTTGACAAGTGGCCAGGATGCCAAAAGTCAAACAGAATGAGCTTACTTAGAAACATTGTATAAAAGAGAATGGCCAGGAATCTGTCTCCCTGGGACAAGTTGACCATATCAGGAAAACCGTGCGTGAAATGATGTCATCAAAAGTACCAAGTTGGGTGAATGTTTAAATTTATAAGGCAGAACACACACACACACACACACACACACACACACACACACACACACGAAACTTTCTACAGGACAATGATGATCCCAGGAAGTAAAATCTGCCTTTGACAGAGCAAGATCAGCCAGAGGCTATCTGGTCAGTTCATGCTCCAAAACCCAGAACAAGGTGAGATCATTGTTCAAGGCCAGCCTAAGCCCTGTGGGTCCTCTAGAACAAGAGCAAGCAGCTGTAAAAAAAAAAAAAAAAAAAAAAAAGCCCCATCTCCCTCTTCTGAATTACTGGACTTTTAAGGAGTTGCTTGCTCAACCCTAACCCTGAACCAGACACTGAGCGCAGAGATCCCTCCACCCCAGAGCTGAAGATCATGGTTAAAAAAGACCCCACACGGACAGACAGACAGACAGATGGACGGAAGCCTTGAGGGCCCAGGCAGGGACTGAATTAAATAAGCAAGGACACAGTGTAGGTGCGGGTGACAGAGGTGGGGTTTTATCCTCTGTCTGGATGAAAAATGTCATTCTTACGCAGTCACTGACCCAACAGGACTTAATATTTTCAGAATTGATTCCTTATACTTCTGAGAATTTTGTGTTTCCTGTTTTAAAGAAAAAAAAGGTCTTCTGGACAGGAGGGCCCAGGGCCCTGACATATTCTCTGGGCTCCCATCCTGTGCCCCTCGCTCATGCCTGCCTGAGACCATGCCTCTGGGCTAAGGTAGCCTGCTTTGGAAACCATCTCCAAAACACCAGAGTAGAACTGACCCCAGCCCTCTCCATAAAGGCATAAAGTGGCTTCTTCTATTTTTACAAGCTCCCTAGAGCCTCAGACCCACTCCAGGAAGGCCTTGCCGGCAGGAAACAACACTTCCTTTGATGTGCTCTCCCTCCTGGTGCAAAGCATTGCCTTTTCCTTGCTGGTCAGCCTTGCAACATTCCCAGACCACTAAAGCCATAGGAAAAACTCCAGTGGCGAACACAAACCCAAGCATCCCGACTCCCCCCGCACTGTGTAAACTGAGCCATCACACACCCACTTCCCTGGTCCAGCCAGACAAGCCCCGAGGGGGCTCCCACAAAACACAGGCTGCTTGGGCTCCTCACTCAAGTGCTCAAGGGGCCATGGGCATGGGGAGAGGCAGCCGTACCCTTCCTAGGAACATCGAGATTTCCGATGATATTTACATCTCTGATGACATCAGTTTATGTTCACATTTGAGTATAAAATAAACTGTCAGGGCGAGCATGCAATCCCATCCAGAACTCTCGGCTAATTATAGCCTTTCCACAAGGCTGCGGGCGACCACTCCAGCCCCAGCCAGAAGCAAATGGCCCATTTGTCATGCAACTTCAGCTAGACAGGGCTGGTGGTGGGGGGCGGGGGGGGGTGCACACAGCCATGCCCATCTGGGACCAAACAGGGGATACCGCTGGCAGTCCCCAGACCAGGCCCAAAGCCCCAGGCTTTGCAAGCCCTGTGGTGTCTTCAACAGGCTGCTCGGGAACTCTGTGGCCCAGCATAAACTGGCCTGAAGGATCCTGCGGAGCCCTGCAGCTTGGAACCAGCTTCTTCCTCTGCAGGGAGAGGCCCAGCTTCACACAGATGCTGGAAGCAGGAGGCCCTGGGAGGCTTTCCAGCACCTGTGTCTCCTCCTTCGGGAAGCATCTGGTCACCCGCCTGCTGGCTCATCCCCAACTGGGGCAAGTCTCACAGCGGACCTGTGAGACCCATTTTCACCCGAAAAGGCACTTACTAGGTATCTATTATGTTCCAGGCCTGGAGGTCACAGGAGTCACAAGACTAGATAGGGGTAAGATAGGGGTCAGAGAGGCTGGAAATGACCTCGACAGTCCGATGGATGGAATTCAGCGGGTCTTTGAACTGGGGATGGAGAAAAAAGTCCTATCTTTACTTTTGCTAACCTCTAGCTGAAATGTTTCTGGCACAAAAAAGGTGACGATTTCCTGGTCTGTGGGAAGCAAGCTGCAGTTCTGGAGAGGTGCAGGAGAGCTGGGGATTCGAACAAAAGTGAGGGGGAGAAAGGCTATGTGAGGAAATCAGGGTGGGCTTCCTGGAGGTGTCAGTGTTTCCTGGAAGGTCCCAAGAACTGCTTCATTCTGGAACTCTTTCATAAGGCACTCGAGGCTCCAGAGTTCTCTGTTGAGCCCCAACAAAGCACTTTCCTGAGTTTCCAGCTTTGAAAGGATGTAGGGAGTAGCTAAACTCTAAGGCCCTAGAGAGATTCTAAGTAAGATGGGGTTGGCAGGGCCCCTGCCTCTGGACCTCACGTCCGTCAGCCCTTCTGCCCCAGGCCAATCCCGCCTGTGCCTGGGCGACAGCCAGCTCCTCCTCAGCACGCTCGTACCAGCTTGCCTCCTGCGCAGAGGGAACAGCAGAGGAGAGACAAGAGATGCGGGCTGGCATTCTGGGCCTTCGTTACCAGCTCAGTGCTCCCGGCCATGTCCCGTCTCCTCTTTGGGCCTCATTTGTCACCTGTAAAATAATAAAGCCTGCTGCCATTTACAGAGTGATGATGCCGCACAGGGGACCGCAAATGCTAGACCTGTATCACCTCCCTTAACCTTCGCACCCCCTCACACGCCCAGGAAAGGACCAGTCTCACGTTCCTGGCCAGACCCTCAGCCAAACCAAGTGACACAAAACGTAGGGGAGGCAGTCAGGATTCCCCACTGAAGCCTGTCTGTCTGACCTGCCGCTGAGGCTTCCAGACAGGCCTTTCGAGACGACCTGGAGAGAACTGGGTGCAAATGTCCTGGCAAAATACAAAGGTACCACGAGCAGAGCAGTGCTGCCCAGAGCAGGTCCTATGATGACACTAACGTCCAGTCTGGTAGCTACTTGCCACATGCGGCTAGCCAGCTCTTGAAATGTGACTTGTGTGCCCAAGGAACTACATTTTTTATTTTATTTCACTGTGATTAATTTAAACGTGACCACAGGTAGCCAGGGGGCCACCGTGTTGGACAGCACAGGTCTAGAGTGTCCCCCATTGGATGCTGTCCCTCACCGCTCTCCACAATGCTCCTTTCTAAAGTCACAGCGACCACCCTTATTTAGAAATCATGGGCCCTAATCATCCAGCCACTAGCTAGCAAGGGTTTGATTCATCTTCCCTGACCTCATTCGGCAGAAAACAGTCTCTTCTCCCAGTTGCCCCAAGAAAGCTCACTTCATGTTGTCCCCTGCCTCTTACCCCCAAGGAAAGCAGGTCAGGCCAGATCCAGAAGGCCCTGGGCAGTGCCCCCAACCCAGACTGATAGAGGGTCCGTTCTGTCTCCTCCAGAAGAGTGCCAGACCCAGCTCCAGGACCACAGGGCAGTTCCACGCTCTCGGGTCCTGGAGCCCAGTGCCGCCACCCTGGCCCCAGCCCCGCCACAGGCAGCCTGTGCTTCCGGAATGGGGCTCCTCCCAACCCCAAATCAAAGCCAGCCCGTTGGGAAAGCAGCAGCTGCCGGCAAAGGAGCCAGTTTCTGGCTTTTGTCACTGATACTTTGCTGTCAACTCTGCCTTGACTCTGGACAGGACTTCTTTGTTTTAACAAAATATAGACATCAAGGGCAGAGAACCTGGTTAATTGCAGACCTTGGTCCGTGACCATCTCTGACACAGCCCGCTTTCGCTTATAATATAGTAAGCACCGTTGACTACCCAGTTCTGCTCCCGCTGATCTGGCATGACCCCACTGTCACACATTAAGGTCCCACATATGCTTAAGTCTGTTTGTGGCTCCTGATCCGTTCCCTCGGTCAATCTGGCTATCCCCAAACAAACCTCCCCATCGTAACAACTACAGCTTTATAACACATCTGGGCATCTGGAAGGCCAAGTCCCTTCCTGTCTTCTTTCAAAGTGGCTAGATATCCTTAGGCCTAGATTCTTCCCTACACATTTTAGAGTCACCTAATCAAATTCCAAGAAAAACCCCACTGAGGTTCGATGGGATCACTCTGCATCTATAGATCCCTTTGGGGAGGATTGACATCTTTATCAGGGCTTCCTGCCCGTGAGCATGCTTTACTCCTTCTTTGTGTCTTCTTTATTATGACTTCTCTATGAAGGGTGCTCTCCATCCCCTTTGAGCTTTTTGGGCAGAAGTGGGGAAAAACCTCTGGAAGGCTGGAGGGCCCACCAGCTAGGTCCAGGGGTGGAAAACATGGCCTTTGGAAAACAAACCTCTAGGAAGCAAGGTGGGTACACCAGTCTGTTTTGCTTCCCCTCCTACAGTTAGAGAAGCTTGAATTCGAAGACTCCTACACACACACACACACACACACACACACACACACACACACACACACACAGAGCACATTCCAGGCTATAAAAGAGCTGAGCTGGGAGGCTTGGCAGCCCAGCTATTCAACCCAGCCAGGGCAGAGAGTGGGATTTCTAATCAAGAACACCCCCCACACACACACACACGTACCAAAAACTGTGGGTAAGACCTGACCCAGCTGGGACTCTCCAAAGTTTGGGGGCAGACAGGTAGGAAGTGGTAAAACAGACAACTGATAAGGCTATTCTGAGACAAGAGGTGGAATTACTTCCTCCTGGGAAATCAGAGAAGGCCCATTGGAGCCGAGCCTTGAAGGATGCAAGGGAGTTTGCCCACCACTTTATCTTCCATGAGTGTCGGGACCACTGGCCCAGTGTACCTGTTGGAGGAGTGAATCTGAGAAATCGTCTTGCTTCAGATGCCCATAAGCCCAAAAAAGAAACTCAGGTGATCGCATTCCAGAACAGAGTGTTCCAAGGCCTACAGATCAGAGTGACTTGTGGTTCATCTGAAAACCAGGGAAAGAGCCAAGGGAAAAAGGAGAGTCAAGAGCAAATCACCTCCACCCAACACATTCCTCTCCCTGGTTTTCTTTTCTCTCCTTCTCCAGGCCTCTCTCTCCCCTCACCCCTTCACTGTGTCAGGACCAAGAGAGTCAGAAGCTGCTCCCAGGGCTGTGTTCCCATGGCATCTGGGTGATTGTCTTCGCAGATCTCGGGCCCACGTGGGCCCCAGCCAGGCGGGCTCATTAACAGAGGCCCATCAGCACAAGAAGCCACGGATCCCTGGAATGCATCCTGGATGGGTGGGCCTGGCAGTGGTGGGACAGTGGACAGGCGGGCCTGGTAGTAGGGACAGGAAGTCCCCCAGCTCTGGTCACTGCAGGCAGTGCCCTAGGCCTAGGGATGGAGCTCCAGCTGAGAGGTGAGGAATGGGGAATGGAAACTGGGATCCGGGCTTGGGGGCCCCTCAGGAGGAAGAGCTCTGCAGTGTGGGGCTGGGGGTGTTTCCTGCTGGTTGTGCCAAACCACCACTGCTTACCCTCTCCCTCTGGCCCGGGGTGCCATCTGCCACAGCACCCAGCATCCAGTGAGTGAAGGCTCTCCCGCTCAGGGCCGTGGGTTGCTGCCAGGAGCGGGGAAGGTGGCCCAGGCCTCCCCGCCTCTCAGACCTTTTAAAAGGAGACACAGGCTCACAGGGGTGACAAGGGGGCTTTGTTCTAGACAATGGCTTCCAGTTCAGGTCCCAGCAGCCATTTAGAGCATGCATGTGTCCACCAGGTACTGGGCCAGACATCCCCGATTCTTCTACTGGCCTGGGGCTTTTCCCAGAAACAACCCAAAGTGAAGGCAAGAACGTCAAGGGACAGGGTTGGTGGGTAGGCGGGGGCCTCCTGTGGTCTCACTTCTCCCCGACCCTCCGGGCTGCTGCAAGAAGTCCCCGTGAAGGAGGCAACTGCCGGGGCGCCTGGGTGGCTCAGTCGGTTAAGCGGCTGCCTTCAGCTCAGGTCATGATCCCAGGGTCCTGGGATCGAGCCCCACATCGGGCTCCCTGCTCAGAGGGGAGCCTGCTTCTCCCTCTCCCACTCCCCCTGCTTGTGCTCTCTCTCTCTAACAAATAAATAAAATCTTTAAAAAAAAAAAAAAAAAAAAAGGAGGCAGCTGCCTGAACAGGAGTGGGCAGGGCAGGGAAGGGCAGTGGGAGAGGGAAGGAAGAGCTCCAGCAGGGAGCTGAGGACCCATGGCCAGGCGACCCCTTGCCAGGGGTCACCTGGCTGAGTTGGCCATATGTAAATTAAGGGTGGTCTCTACACTAAGTGCTTCATGTTTCTTATTTTTAACGTTAGATGTAGTTTTTTATCTAAGAAAAAAATGAATCAAATTGCTTTTTATATAAATTTGGCCCTTACCTCATTCTTTCCCCCTCTGCCCCTGAACTAGAGCTGGAAGGGAGAGGGGGCAGTCAGACCGCAAGGGTCAGTGCCTGGCATGTGCGGGGCCTCCTAGAACATAAACTGCCTCCACTGCCAGGGTTCATGACTCCAAAGAGGTCAAAGGGCAAAGGGGAAAAGGAGCAGTACCATACATTGGAAGGAGAGTTGGAGGTGAGGGGAGACTAACCCCAGTCTGTCACTAGCTCCCATGTGACCTTGGGCAAGCCCCTTCCCCTCTCTGGGCCCCAGTTTCCCTGCTCCAAAAGGGAGGATGTTGGCTACAAGCCCCAAAATCCCTTCACTGCTCCAGAAGTCCATGGAAACTCATACGAGGACAGCCCCACCCAGAATCCCGGCCATCAGCAGACGAAGGGTGGCCCAAAGACCCCTCTCCTGGGATCCCACTGCTTTCCTACCTGGTCCAGAACGTCACGCTTCAGCATGAGAAAAAGCCCTACAGGGGACGGAGGTGCCCTTCCCACCCCAGCCTCCACCAAGACACAAACCACCAGCACTCTGTCTCCTACAGCAGCAGTGGGTAGGACACCAACTGTTTTTTTGGAAATAGTAAAGGTATAAGGGGCTAATACCCATCCGCCAAAACTCAGCTCAAAGCCCTCCTCCCCTGGGAAGCCTTTCTGGATCACCCCAGCTACAGGGATCTCTCTCCACTTCTGATCACCTATGAAATCAACAATGGGAAGCCCTCACCGGTACTGATATTCGTTGTATTAATTATGCCCATTGAGCAAATAACGTCAGGTGTTTATTACCGACCGCGGGCAGGGCGTGACGGCAGGACCCAGCTACACACGTCCCATCTTTGACCTCAACAACTTCAAAGTCTGCAAATGTGTCACTTCCACAAGTTCACAGGACGTTGGGGGGCTTAGGTCCCAGACCACACTCTCCCCACAGCAGCTACATGAAAAGTGCTCAGGGCCAGAGCTGGTCCACAGTGGCCGGCTCAACCACACTGTCCCTGAAGCAGGATGCCATGCAAAAGTTTCTGGTGTTCAAGAAATGTGATTCCTCCTTCCCCAGTAAAGATACAGTACAGTTCTAACACAGACATCTTCAAATTAGAGGCCAGAAACCATTTCCCCTTTTAGAGGCACTTTGCTCCAAGGATAATTTGGGGGAAGGAGAGTCCTTGCTGTGAATCCCAAGGCAGCATTCACTGATTCAACATACATTTATTAAATACCTATTATGTACCCAGCACTGGGCATAAAAAGATAAGACTTAGCTCCTGCCCTCAAGGAA